AGGCCGCAATCTGTGTGGAGAGAAGCCTTTGCAGGTAGAATCTGCAGGAAGGGCAGAGGACGTCCCTGCCCCCAGCCGGGAGCCAGCGTTCTTGGGAGAGCAGCCAGGACCCGGAGGCCCCACTGGCTCCCACAGGCCCTGCTCCAGGGTGAGTCCCTGAGGCCCTGCAAGGACAGACAGACCTCTGGGTCTCACTGGAAAGAGCAGCCCTCCGCACCCCCCCCCCCCCCGTGCTGATCCTGCAGGCGTGCGGAAGGGGGAAGGCGCTGGAGAGGCTCTCCGGGTGTGGGTGGGAGCCAGGCCAATCCTCCTCAGCCTCCCCCGTCCTGAAGTCTCAGGCGACCAAGAGGCAGGAGAGCCCCGGGGCTCACAGACAGTCGGCCTTGCATGGAGTGAGGTGGAGTGGTGCCCATTTCTCTCGTGCAGGAGGATGGTAGGGATGGACACACCCTTGAGGAATCAAAGACTCTCTCAGAGCCCCTTCCAGGATTGTAGTAAGAACAGGCCTCCTGAGACCCCAGCTTGGAGCTGTGGCCCCCGAGCGGCTGGTGGGCTGCCGGCCTTGTGCCCTGGGGGACCCTGGGGCCAGACAAGCTGGTTTCCCCAGGCCGGCAGCACACAGACCTCCTAATCGAAGCTGCCAGCCACTCCTGCCCCGCCGTGCTCTGGAGCGCTGGCGTGGGAAACCACCTGCAGATGGAGGTCAGAGTCGAACCCCTGGCTGGCTGGAGTTCGGGGGCCAGTGGTCCGGGGGGGCCTAGACACCACGATGTGCTTACTCGCGGTTTGGTGCCGGGTCTGGAGGCTCCCTGGAGAAGCTGCCTTGAGGGCGGGCTCAGGTTCTGGACTCTTTCTGTTGTCAGAACCTCATGCCATCGGGGCAGCAATGCGTGAGCTGCTATTCCTCGGCCCCGTGGGTGCACGAGGCCCTGCGTCCCCCAGGCCACCTCACGTGGGAGCTGGGACCTGGGCCGGGGACAGAGCCCTCACCCTTGTCCTGGGGGTGCACCCAGCTGCTGGACCCCCAGCGCCCCTGGCCTGGCACCGGCGGAGCAGAACCTGTCCCTACCGCGCTACCTGCGTGGGACACAGTGATCAGGTCTCTGCTGCGGAATGAGGCCAGTGGGTGTGAATCCTGAAGCGCTTTCTCTGAGGAGCAAATTCAGGCCGCGACGTGGAGTCTCATCAGGACCTCCTAAAGAAGGTGCTGTTCACGTGGGGCCAAGGGCCATCCTGCATGGTGACCACATGTGATGGACAGCGGCATGAACTCAGTGCTTCTTGTCCCCCGGGAGGTGACGTCCCCTCCTCCTACCTGGGAAACTGGCCCTCGGATCAGCTCTTAAGGGAAGCAGACCCACACCCACATGTGCACACGCCACACACGCTCCCACGTGCTTGTACACAGGGCGCACGCATCACAGGTCACACACATGTGCACACGTGTATATGGCATTTATTCACACGTGCACGCGGACACACACACGTGTGTACTGTATGCATCTCACATGCACACGCACACACATCATCAAACCAAAGGAAACTTCCTAGTTTCGTCCTCAGTGATCTCGCGTGACCTGGTGAGTTTGGAGGCCCTGGAAGGAAGATGTGGGAAAGACGTCTGTCTGGAGGACAGTGAGCCCCGTTTTGGGGAGGAGCTTGGAGGGGTGGGCTGGGTGGCACTGGTGGGCTCTGGGAGACTAAGTTAAGCAGCCCTGTGGTGAGGGGGCCTTCAAGTCTGCCAGGCGTGGTTTTGGCCTGAGGAGGATGGCTGGGGTCTAGATTCTGGGCTGAGCCCCTGGGTGGCTGTTCCTTCTCCTTGGTCCCCGTGAGGGAGGTGAGACCGAAATCCAGGGCCTGCCTGGCCGTGAGGACGGCTCCCACAGCCCCACCCTCAGGGCTCCAGCAGGATCCACCCGCTGCGTGGCTCTCAGTGGCTGCGAGGAAAAGCAGGCACAGCACGGCAGTGGGACGGGGCGGCCCTCTGAGACTCGCCAGAGTCTCGAACTGCAGGCCCGAGAGAAGGTGCTGTGCCCCCGATGGGACCCACAGAACCGGGAACCCCTGAGCCTCAGGGCTGGCTGACAGACAGGAGCACATTCAGCGTCCTCACCCGCTCCCACATTTCACAAACACCTCGATTCAAACTCCTCAGAACGCCTTCCACTCTGGGGACGTGGACCCATTTCCACAACGACTGCACTTTTCCCTTTGTTTCGACAGGAAGACTAAAATTTCTTTCTTTTTTTACCTTTTAAAAAGTTAATATTTATGATTTTTAAGTAACACATGTGCATAGTTTTTGAACAGGTTTTTGAGGTAGAATTGTTATACCGAGAACTGCATGTATTTGTGTACAGTTGATGAGTGTGGATTACGCACCCGGGCACCAGCCCCCGTCAGGGGCTTGCACACGCCCGATGCCTCCCAGGGGTCCCCGTGTTACGTTAGTTGCTGTTATTTATTTTTTTGCAGTAAGAACACTTGGCATGAGATCTACCCTCTCAACAAAGTCTGAAAGACACAATACTATGCTGTTACCACAGGCATTTTGTTGGACAACAGATCCCTGGAACTTATTCATCCATATAGTTGACCTGTTTTTAAGAAAATTCTACCTGGTTTAATTTTAAGGAAGATTCTAGGATTTTAAGCATTATCAAAAATTATTTTTTCTGTTTATTAAAACAAAACATTCGACACAAATGAATGTAGAGAGCATCCCTGTAGTCGCACATTATGATACCATGGTGAACCCCAAGGGCCCCGCTGCCCCGAACCAGAACGGGACCCCACTTGGGTCTGCCTGTGTGATCTACCCCCAAACTTGCTGTCATGATCTCATTGCTTTAAAACGTCTCATCCCGGGCGCCTGGGTGGCTCAGTCGTTAAGCGGCTGCCTTCAGCCCAGGTCATGATCCCAGAGTCCTGGGATCGAGTCCCACATCGGGCTCCCTGCTCAGTGGGAAGCCTGCTTCTCCCTCTCCCACTCCCCCTGCTTGTGTTCCTGCTCTCGCTGTCTCTGTCAAATAAATAAAATCTTTAAAAATAAATAAATAAATAAATAAATAAAACGTCTCATCCCATCTGTGTGTGTGTGTCTGAACAACGTGTGGCACTTGAAGGATGGTGTCACCCTACATGTTCTCTTCCAGAGGTCGGTGGGACAAAGCGAAGGTCTCAGAAAGAGTCCAGATGGATGGAAGTTTCATACATGCCAACCTTCAATATAGCAGTGAAAGTGTGAATGCGAGCGCACAACCGTTTTAGGAGAGTATGTGGGGGCCATCTGCACACCCAGCGATGGGCAACGTTGGGCAACGTTGGCGCAGACGGCAAGCCAGGGGCTGGAAAACTGAGTTGTTAGGTGACAAAATAAATATGTCCCAGGAAAGAGGTGCCATAACCAAAGCCAACCAATAAATATATTTGCAAAGTTGGGAGAGAAGAGGATAACATCCATGATCTATGGGGAGATTTAGCAAATCGATTAGCTAAAGACAAACCACCCAACAGGAACAAAAGGACAGAGGGTGGAATGGCGATTGACAGGCGGATCCAATGACACCGCGAAGACTCAGAACGTATAATTAAAGCAGCCTGAGCCATCAGCCCACATCCATCAGTTAGAACCAAGACGGGGCCTCGTGGCGAGGACAGCCCCATGCAGGCAGAGCCACGAGCGGCAGATGACCCAGGAGACCCGCCGCACCTCTCGTCGGGGCGCGTCTGCCTCGGGGAAGCGGAAGGCAGGCTGGCGGTTCGGCTGTGTCGGCGTCAGTGGCCGGTGTCCGGCCACCACTCCAGCTCGGTACCAGCTGACCGGAACACGTTAAGTGAGGAAAACAAAGACACTGCAAAAATTACACAGTGCGATTCTCTCAGGCCAGGTCCAAGCACCCTCTACATGCCATTGCCTACACACGTGTACGTGTGCTCACGAGTGTCACTGCACGTGCCTCAGGGAAACAAGGGAGAGCCTGGAGGACGTGGCCGAGGCCATGCTGTGATCTGGGGCGCAGGCGGGGGTGCGGGAGGGGGACCAGCAGCCGAGCACAGGCTTTCTGGGAGGGTACTGCCGCTGTGATGAAGTCTTCACGTGTGACACTATCCTGTTTACATAACAGTGTGTGTCCGCACGTTCACTGATGCACGAATGATGCTCATCGACCTGCTTGCCATAGGGTTACGGGTTTCTGGTGACTTTCCTTTCTTGTACCTTAAAGCTTTGTTGAAACTTCTATACAAACAATTTTTTTAATTAGCCACCAGAACAGAACAATAAAGCCGTTTTACTGTGGGGGAGAAACAGCTGTACAGGAGGTGAGGTTTGTAAGGTGCTGGCTCTTGCCTGCCATGGAAAGGCAGTAATGTGTGCGTGGTCACGGGATCAGCTGCAGGGACACGGGCTCAGCTGTGTGGTCACGGGATCAGCTGCAGGGACACAGGCTCAGCTGTGTAGATGGGAGTGGACACGGGCTCAGCTGCATGGTCACGGGCTCAGCTGCATGGACACGGGCTCAGCTGTGTAGATGGGCGTGGACACAGGCTCAGCTGCGTGGTCATGGGCTCAGCTGCAGGGACATGGGCTCAGCTGTGTAGATGGGCGTGGACACGGGCTCAGCTGCGTGGTCATGGGCTCAGCTGCAGGGACATGGGCTCAGCTGTGTGGTCACGGGATCAGCTGCAGGGACACGGGCTCAGCTGTGTAGATGGGCATGGACACGGGCTCAGCTGTGTGGTCACGGGCTCAGCTGCAGGGACACGGGCTCAGCTGTGTAGATGGGCGTGGACATGGGCTCAGCTGCATGGTCACGGGCTCAGCTGCAGGGACATGGGCTCAGCTGTGTAGATGGGCGTGGACACGGGCTCAGCTGCGTGGTCATGGGCTCAGCTGCAGGGACATGGGCTCAGCTGCAGGGACACAGGCTCAGCTGTGTAGATGGGCATGGACACGGGCTCAGCTGCGTGGTCACGGGATCAGCTGCAGGGACACGGGCTCAGCTGCATGGTCACGGGATCAGCTGCAGGGACATGGGCTCAGCTGCGTGGTCATGGGCTCAGCTGCATGGACACGGGCTCAGCTGTGTAGATGGGCATGGACACGGGCTCAGCTGCGTGGTCATGGGCTCAGCTGCAGGGACATGGGCTCAGCTGTGTGGTCACGAGATCAGCTGCATGGACACGGGCTCAGCTGTGTAGATGGTCATGGACACAGGCTCAGCTGCAGGGACATGGGCTCAGCTGTGTGGTCACGAGATCAGCTGCATGGACACGGGCTCAGCTGTGTAGATGGGCGTGGACACAGGCTTAGCTGCGTGGTCATAGGCTCAGCTGCGTGGATGGGCATGGAAGACGCTGCCTGCAGCCTGGCTTCCCGTCCTTAGGGACAAGACCACGTCTCAGGAAGCTCATCCCGAGTCATTCCAGAACAGCATGTGCTGGCTGAGCCCAGGACCACGATCCTGTGTATGGCACCCCGATCTGATGGCATGTCACCCACCTGGTTTAGGACAGGCAGAGCGCCCTGAGGCCTTCCCATCCTCCTGGCCCTTGAGAGTGTTTCCCTTCATGTGATCACGGCCAGGGGCCCTTCAGATGACTGCTGCGCTTTCCCAGGAACACTTACAGAAAGGACAAGCGTCTGCTACATCTTATTGGGTCTTTCTAGCTGTTGTCAATTTTTAAAATCCCATTTTCTATATGTTATTAACTTAAAAGTACTGAAAACAACCAGGGAACACTACAAAATGGAGGATTATTTAATCCAGACGCTACATGGGCCAGTTTTCTTCCTTTAACTAGCAGTGGGCTCCATGGAGTAAGGAGATACTTCGGTCTGTTGGAGGCCTCACTGTGCAGTATTCCCTTCCAGGCTGGGGCCACGCTGCCGCCGTCACACCCTACAGCATTGGATCGATGCCCGAGGCCGCCCGGAGCGGAGGGTCTCCTCCCTCAGCAGGGAGACCCCGCGGCCTTGCTGGCAAGCAGGTGGCATGCATTGGGCTGCACAGAGAGGCAAGACGGAGTGTCTAAAGATGCACAGCAAGGGAGGGTTAGAACGGGACCAGGTCGCCACTCTTCTAAGCAAATGTCCAGCATCATCTGCAGGAGTAGACTGCTCTTCACTTAACCAAAAAGCTTTGGTTTGAGCTCATTTCAACCTTCCTTCCCGGCCCTTCCGTTCTTTCCCTCTGTGGTCAAACACTGTTAACTGCCACTACATCTTGTTCCCCTGACACCAGCTGTCTTATCCCCGCCTCGTGGACACGGCCACACAGTCACGTTCCAGCCAGTGAGTGGCAGCATTCTTCGATGTGTCCACGGAGCTTTCTGGTCAACCTGGCACTGTAGGTGGAGGCTGATATGGTCCCACCCGTCATGACGTCCTGGCACGGCAACGTTCTCCTCCCGGCCTTACGTGTGAGTATTTGTGCCGAGTTTGGAAAGCAGCCATGGTCAACTCCAGGAGGAGTCAGCCAGGTCAGTCTCTGTGAAGTCCAGATAAAGCCGCAAGCCTTGTACAAAGCGAGAACTGCAGATAAATAGCAATCTGGAAGATAATGGGTTTGCCTGACATTGTTGGGCCTGTGAATCATAACAAGACTTTACAAGATGCAGGAAGTCCAGGAATTGGCAGTTTCCCCGTGGTTCATGATCCCTTTTTAAAGCTCAGGGTGTAGATACTGCTTGAAATTATAATAGGCACCAGTTCTTAACTCATGACAATCACCTCCTTTTCACTACTTTTCAGAATGAACAGGAAATAAACATTTTCAAAAAATATAAAGTCAGAAGGCACAAAACTGAAGAGTTCCAGTACATCTCCCTTGACAGACAGCAATGAATGAGTGACCAGTGTCTGTTGCCCCTGAGACAGGCCACGTTTCGTGGGCTGGTCTCAAGGTGGGGTCACCCCTACCCTGCCTCAATATGACATACACCACATCTTAACAAGCCACGTCATGTTATCTGGAAGGGCTATGGGCAAGATCAGTGGTGAAAACATCAGCAGAGTCCTTGAGACAAGATAAAAGGGCAAAGAAGCTACAACCAATATGGAGCCAGAGGGATGGAGGGGGAGCCTTGCGTGAGCACGTGTATGCACATGTGTGTGGGCACGTATGCACACACCCTGAGATGCGAGTCCATGCAAACCTCTCCTGCCTAGGACAGCAGGGGTGGTCCTGGCTCATGGGCGGGGGTGTGACCGACAGGTGTTAGTGGCCGGCAAGGCTGAACGCACCCCCACCATGTGCTAGCACAGGCAGAGTCCTGGGGTTCACTCCGCCACGCTGGGCTGGGACTCAGGCCGGTACGGAAACAGTGCAGTGCAGAAATAAAACCCGAACAATCAGCTATTGCATAATATGGGTTCCATGCCTCGCAATAACTGATGAGCTGGCATTTGCTCACAATTTGCCGTGTGTGAGATAAGTCCACAGGTGTCTCCTCCATCCCCTCGAGCACGCAAGGTGGACGGGACCTCAGGAGGCTTGGTTGTTTGGTGAGGGCGGGACCATCACAGCACAGATATCCTGGCTTCTGAGGGAAACCGATGGGCGTGTGACCTCTGGTGACTAAACTCGCTGTTCCCATGGCGTGGCGTCTCCCTGACCAGGCAGTGCAGAGGGTTCTGGAAAATTCTGTGGTCAGAGTCCGGCCCTTGATGATTGCTAGCCCCTGTCACCCGGCCAGACACGCACACCTGCGTTCCCTGGACACTTAATCGGAACAAGCCCTGAGGCAGGCCCCGTGGGCTCAGCAGACACAGGCACGTCCCAGAGGGAGGGGCAGAGAGGAAGACGTGGTCACAGCACATGTCGTGGTGATGACACGCTGCACCGGACACCGTCGGGGGCAGAGAGGGGTCTAGCACCACATAGGCATCCCAGAGATCATGCTCGCTCTGAGACCTACAGAAAAGCGGTCTCGACAGCTGGAGAAATGTCGAGGGCTGGAGAAGGTGCTGGACAGCTACAGGTGTGGGCATGAAGACCGGAGCCCGAGAGGTCAGAGCACACGGCGACCGGTGAAGGCACGTGGGCGTGGGCGCGGGCGCGGGCGTGTGAGGGGCTGTGTTCTGCAGGTAGGATCTCCTGCAGCTGGAGCACTGCGCCACCTAGGAAGCAAACCGCCGAAGGACACAGGCTACTTCTGTTCTTCTCTCTAGTGCTTGGCGCATCGTGGATGTTGAATACATGTTCCCCTTGCGTGATGCGCACGTTCAGAGAACGTGTATTTAGTGGTAATATGGAGTCCTAAGCAGTAGCAGCTAAAAGTACTTACTATTTTCCTCAACACCCGTTGTCTCATTCACTCTGCCTTTGGAAGGGCACAGAAGGCCAGGGAGACAGACCCGTGGCCGTGGTCTCTTCTCCACATGACGTCACGTGGCTGCTTTCTCGCGCCTGTCACAGCCCCCCAGTGTGGGGGTGTGTCTGTGGGCATGCATCTCCCCCATAGCAGCAGTGTCTAGAAGGCAGGGCGAGCTCAGTATTTGTCGTTTTGAACTGAATTGCATCATTTCCTGGTTTAGGAAGAGAATGAACTTGGGATTTTAAAATTGCAAGTTTGGCTTTGGGAATTAAACACTGAATGCAAGGTAAACATTTTTGTTCTTACTGTTGGAATTCCCCCACTTACTAAGATGAGATCAGGGCCAACAAAATACTTTGAAACATCATTTACATCTTTATTGGTCCATAAGATCCAGAAAAGGAACCATTTTGACATGAAGTCAAGGAAGAATGTTGCAACATGTGGGCAGACGTGAAAATAGACCCTTCCTGGAAAAACTTAACAGAGCATGGATTGAAGGAGATTTCTCTACTTGTTTCCATCAGTCACTCTGTTTCCAGATTTTGTTCTCAGCGTAGCTAGATGTCATCAAAGACCTTCGCTCTGGTCTGCAGGAGGCCACCTCTGTGGACGGGCATGGAAACGCTCACCCGCGTGCTCCTTCGAACCCTGACAGCGAACGCCATGCGCGAAGGTTTGCTGCCGTGTGCGTGCCTTTGACAGCTGAGCTCTGTGTGGTGTTGGGCAGGCAGCTCTGCCCAGCCTTCTGAGAAGGAGCATGTCCCACGGCTTCAAGAGGAAATCTGTTCAGCGTTATGAACCCCACCTTGTGGTAAGCACGGGTTGGGTGCTTGCAGCTCACGGGGATCTTTGGATCACAAGCAGTTGCTGGACAGAGACCATCTCTTCCTCATCCCCAAATGCCCACTGTGTGCCTCACACACGGAGCTGCCAAGGGAGGCCGTCAGTGGATCAATACATGAACATGTGTGTTTCGGGGATTATGTTATTAGTGGGAGGACCGCTCTTGTCATAGGAGCACTGATGTCTTCCACGAATGTGGGGATTTAATGAGCACGTGTTCAGAGCATGAGTGTGCACAGACACCCACTCTGGGCCTGCCCTCACGCATGTACTTTACAGATGTGGGGCATGATGTCCTGAGTTAGGAGTGTCCCACGCAGGGTAAGTGTCAGGTGGGAAATTGAAGGGACAAGCCTGGCCCCTACAGCCTACATTTCCTCCAGACCCTGGGAAGAGGATCCCACTGCAAAGGCAGGGGACAGAGCCCTCAGAGGAGAGCACCTAATTTCATGGATCATGGGTCCTCCATCCAGGTCTTTCTACTGCAATGTCAAAGGTACAGACCCGTGACAGACTCCCTGTCCTGGGAACACTCCCTCCGCATCAAAGGGAGGAGGGAGCAAATGAGCCGTTCCCACCTGGGAAGCGGGAGGCCCAGAAGTCATTAACAGCAATGCTGACATGCAGTCCGTTGAGTGACCCCTTGGATGGACTCCATCTCCCCAGAGTCACACCCCTCCCAAATGAAGGGAGCCCACCAAAATGGACCAGCGGACTGCTACGACCAGTGCGGAATTCGTCGCAGCTCAAAGATGGGGCATTCCTCATAACTGGACTTAATGTGGTGATCATTTCTCAATATACACAAATATAGAGTCATTATACTACACAGCTGAAGTTAATATGCTGTATGTCAATTATACCTCAATTAAAAACAAGCAAACACAAAAACAAACAAATAAATCCAACAGATGGGACATTTGTCACCTCCCATTTCGTCTGGTGATGGTTGTGACTCGGCTGGAGCCAAACCCCAAATCTGCCACTTACTGGCCTTGGTCAAGGCACATATTGTTCCTTCTGAGGCCTGGACTGAGAGTTGAACTGGGAAATCCATAGGAAGTACTTAGCAGGCCCTGGTGGCCCCCGAGCCCAGGGGCCAGAACAGACTCCGTGGGCTTCCCAGCAGCTCTGGAGGACAGGGAGCTGCAGCTCTGGAGACCCCAAAGCCCATTCTGTGCAAGCCACTGAAACACGGTGCGGCCGAGCCCCACATGGTGAGCGGGGGCAGGGACAGCGGGCTCCTGACACCAAGGCTGCATGCCCAGCCCCTCTGGGCTACGTCCCAGCGCCACTCAGACAAGCCCTTGAGGAGGGGGCACTCGTCCCACCTAGGAGGTAGGACAGGCAGGTCTGGGGAGGTGATGGAGCCCCGGGGCACAAGCCCTGTAGGCACAGCGGCCGTGGCAAGGAGTGGTGGCAAGCTGGCTTCCTGGAGCCCGTGCTGGGCAAGTGGGCCCATTGTAGGCGGTGGTGGGGGTGTGGGTGCCACGGGGGCGGGAGGAAGAGGCGAGGGAGGGGAGGCTCAGTCTGAGCCCAGGAAGTTTGTTTTACGGCTAGCTTTTACACGTTTGTTTAATCTGTTACCAAGGGTCACTGGTCAGGCAGCCGCTCCTCTCCTGCAGTGCCCGTTCCCAGAAACAGCCTCCTGGGAAGGAGGAAGAAAGTACTTTCCAGAGACTCAGCAAAGAGGAAGTGCCCCGGACACGTGGCTCGAAGGCTCTCCCAGGACACGGGCTTTCACCCAGCAGTGTTGGGGTCAGGAAATTGCTCTCGCCCTTGTGGCGGTTCTGCTCAGTGTCCGCGTCGCTGCGCTCGGGCCCCAGAGAGTGCCCCAGAAGCAGTCCCGGGGGACATCCCGGCCACCTGTGGTGGCCACTTCCTTGGCTGGGATTTGATTCTGGTCAGTTAACAAGGGGGAGGAAGCTGCTTATCCAACACAGTGAGGGGTCTTGGGTTGTCCTGTTGCCTGAATGAGCTTGTTTAAGTTTACACATCATGTAACACTTTCTCTGAAAACATAAATACTTATTTTCAAAGTTTTCAAGACAGGGTCAGTACTCTTTCTGTTGTTACTGGAGCCTCACACCATTTTCCACACAAAGGCCTCCGTAGTAACACCTCGGCTAGGACTCCAGCTTCACTTTTATTAGTGTGTCGAGGACATAGGACGCTTGTGGAACAGCATGGGCCCAGGGCCCACTGCTTATGGGTGTCCCTCCCGCACCTGATTTGACATTTTTGACACACATACTTTTAAAAGGTCATTCTAAATACATCGATATTAGCTCTTATAGAAACAAGTCTTTTTTCTTTCTACGCTCATATAGCAATGTTTTCTGTAACTTCTTAACTCAAAAAATATCTAATGCCTTCTGTGTGTCACACAAAATAAGAAACTTACACAGTTCTCACAGGCATACTTGGGGGGCAGCACCCAGGGGCACTAGAGGGATGCCCAAAAGATGTGAGGGGTCCAGAGTGCCACTAGGACTGGGTTCTGGGAAGAACAGAGGAGCTGGAGAGAGCATGTATGAAAGGAGCTGCCAAAGAGACTAATTAAAAGTTTATGTTGAGAAAATGATAAAACATAAAAGAGTTTATGCTGTCATCATCACCATCACCATCATCACCACCATCACCACCATCAAGATCACCATCATCACCACCATCATCATCACCATCACCATCATCACCATCACCATCATCACCACCATCACCATCACCACCATTAACATCACCACCATCATCATCATCATCACCATCATCATCATCACCACCACCATCACCATCATCACTAACATCATCACCATCACCATCACCACCATCAACATCACCACCATCATCATCACCACCATCATCATCATCACCATCACCACCATCATCACCACCACCATCATCACCAGCATCATCACCATCATCACCAGCATCATCACCAGCATCATCACCACCATCACCATCATCACCACCACCATCATCACCACCATCATCACCACCATCATCACCACTATCACCACCATCATCACCACCATCATCACCATCATCACCATCACCATCACCACCATCAACATCACCACCATCATCATCACCACCATCATCATCACCAACATCACCATCATCACCATCACCACCATCACCATCATCACTAACATCATCACAATCACCATCACCACCAGCATCATCACATCATTACCATTATAAAAGCTAAGAGTTTTGAGCATTTAAATTAGGTTCCATGTTAAGAACATCACAGGCACTATGTCATCCAATCCTCCTGCAACTCTATGGCAAAGATTTGTATATTGTTTCCATTTTAGATATTGGCACTTGAATTCAGATAGGCCAAGTGACTTACCCAAAAGTGTAGAGCTAGTAGGTGAGGAGTGTAATTGAAGCCAAGCTGTCCTGTGTGATACTGTCTCTCTCAAAGTGATGTTGCCACAATCCTACCATTTGAGGAACTGAATCACAGATAAATCAGGCACCTTGCTGGCTGGTTGCACAGCTGTGAGGTGAGGGAGCTGGGATCAGAGAGCAGCTTGGTCTGACCATAGCACCCACAGTCTTTCTGCCTGGCCTCCTGTTTCATTCAGCTGTTCCATGTGAGAAGGAGTTCCCTGAAATACCTGTCTTGCCTCTAAGAGGCCCTATGAACTCTACCCCTCCCTGGCTCACACAGCACAAAGAGGATCAAAGCCTGAACTGGCCCAAGGTGGAAATGCCTGGGATGGTACCAGGGCTCTGGGAAAGGGCTCTAGGGATCACACTGGGGCCAGCAGCCATCAGAGTTAACTGTGAGTCTGGCTCTGTATAAGTATAGTCATGCATATTACTCACCAAACCATCCATTCCTTTGCCATCCTATAGCAGAGCTGGGATTCAAACCCAGATCTCTCTGGTTTCAATGTCTGTGCTCCTAGCTGCTGGTTCTGCATTTTTAACTCATTGGCAAGGGCTACCATTGGTCCTCTACAGCCCAGGCCCCCTACTTGGGAGCAGCGTCATGGGAGGGGGGAAGCAGGACTGCATCTTGTCAGTTTCCCAGTGGGGGGTCAAGGATAAACCTCATGTTTCCCTGTGGCATCTGAGTTGGGTATTTCTTGTGCCCACCATGTTGGCTCAGTCAGCAGGAGGAACTTTTGGGTCCTCTTTGTCCAACCAAAAATCTGAGATTTGAAGTGAAGGCTGAGTCCAGCCCGGATTCCAAGATCCTTATCTAGGAAATGATACACTGCCTGCTCCCCCGAATCTGGACCCTGCTCCCTGTACCCTACAGCTGCTGTTGTCTGGCATTGGGCAAGGAGACAACAGGCCACTCAGAGCTTTGCTGTCACGGCCCTCCAGAGATGGACTATTTCCCACTAATTGCCTCTCCTACTGCCCTCCTGTGGTCTACACGAAACTCTCCCCCCAGCCTGATAGAGCCGTGCCTGACCTGGCTACAGTGAGCCCTTCAATGCACACCCCTCAGACCCAATCCCACCTGTTCTGGCTTCTTCCTCTCTACACACACACACGCTCACATGCATGTATCACCTATCACACACATGCACTCACAATCACACACACTCAAACACATGGATAATCACTATGCTCATCCACACACACACTCACAAACACTGACACTCATCCACACACATGAAATCGCACCCACTCACCACATACACACATGCACACAAATACACAGATGTGCACAGACACGTGGACACGCAAATGCACACCCGTGCATAAGTCTCTAGAACATGCAGCCCTATCACATATCGCGGGTGCTCAGTAAGGCATTGTTTAGCCAAAATGGCTGAAGTAATGCGATTATCTTAAATAAACATTTATAAAGTTAGATGTTCAAATGAGTATCTTTCAAAATACTGTCCTTTCAGAAAGTCAGCTGTTTGGCCCAGTGATGGCCAAACCATTTTTGGAATTCACAAAGGGCGCAATCACTATCCACCCTGGGCTAGCTATCCATGGCTGCATAAGAATATCACAAACTTGCGCTGAAAAAGCACATGTCCTTGTCTTGTAGGGTCTGTGGGTCAGGAATCTGGTTGTGGCTGAGCTGGGCCATCTGTGAGGTTGTCGCCAAGGGCTGGGCTCTCCTCTGGCAGCTCATGGGGCTCTCGGCAGGATTCGGGTGCTTGGGGGATACCAGACAAGGGCCTCAGGCTCTTGCTGGCTGTTGGTCACAGGCTGCCTTCAGTTCCTGGTTAAGCAGACCTCCCCATCTTGGCTGCTTTGGTTAAAATCAGCACAGAGGAGAATATCTCAGCAGGATAGACATGACAATTGTACGTAACACAATCAGAGAAATGATAGCCCCTTCCCTTGGCCAAATTCTACTGGCTGGAAACAAGTCACAGGGAGTGCTGCATTCAAGGAGATTCTGCTCAAGAGAGCCAGAGTGGTTGACCTTTGACCCTTCACCCTACACAGGCTGGTACCCAGAAGGACTTCGGGAATGCAGCCAGATCTGCTTCTGCGAGCTGTGAACACTGACAGTGTGAGTTACTAAATAAGTTCTGACCTACTGTGGGTGAACCAATAGCCCCTCAAAACCTAAAACCATGACAGTGATTTCCGGGATGTCTGAACACCACGAGCCACACCGTAAGGGCAGTTTTCCCTTTGTTTCTGAGACACGGGGGTACGAGCACAAACATGTCCACAGCGAGCCACAGCCCCTGCAACAACCCACAGGAGTGTCGAGCGCGCACGGTACCACGCGGGAGGGGTGCTGAGGCACGTGGAGGTGCAGGCAACAGGGTGTGAGGGCAGAGGGCGCTCCAGCTTCAGCGGGCAGGCTCCGAGCTGTGGACACCACCCATCTTCCCTTGCTGAGTTGGGTGTTCTGTTGCCTCTGGTAAAGCCCCCATACATTGGCCAGAAGGCTGTCTGACCCTGTGCAAGTGGGGAAAGGGGGGGTGCACCCCACGGCTTGGACACCCAGAGTCGGCCACCCTCCCGCCAGGCTGGGAGGCCCCACGGGCACCTCCTCAGGCCAGCCCTCCTGCTGAGCAGATGCGTTTACTGGGCAGGAAGGGAGGACAGGATGTGAGACTTCCCGCCAGCCAGCGACCAGCCCCGGGACCGGCCGGGCCAGGCCCAGGCTCCAGGAAACTGAGCGCACTGCAACGGGAGTGCCCAGGCACAGGGTGGAGGCCGACCCGCCCTGGCTGACCCTGACTCTGGTTTGCTCGCTGGCTTTCCATGTAAATACTGATGTAGCGAATCAATGGAGGGGCAGGGTGAACGTTTGAAAACGTCTGGTGAGAGATGGTGACACCGTGCAGACTCTGCCCCTTGGGGAGCATCTCAGGAGAGTGGAGCATGTTTCTCAGGCTACCCCCGACCCTGACCCTGTGTTCTGCCCCTGCTCATTCTGCCCCTTCCCCAACCTCAGAGCAGGAGTACGGGCCGGTGGATGTCTGATGATGACCCAGTGGGCAGGGATGTGGTGGGAATCGAGGCAGAGCGGCTGCAGGACCCCGCAGGGCTGAGTGGGGGGCATCTGCAGGAACACCACGACGTTCCCTGGAGATCCAGGGACCCACCTCACCAGACGCTGGGCTAAGATCACACCCAGAACATGAGGACGGGTGCAGGCAGGATGAGCGGGGCCTATCATGCACAAGATAAAGAATGAAGATAAATGGGTAGATGTTCTGGACCCAGGGGGCTGGAGCTGATTTCCTCCATGAGCAGCACTTTGAATGGATGGCCAATGAAGAAGTGCTGGTCTGCCCGCTTGGGGGCCTGTCCACACTGGCACTGACCAGCCGCGGTTGGTGCACAAAGGGCAGGGAGCAGAGAGGAAGAAGGAAGCCGGGCCTCTGGCATGAACACCAAACCAGTTCCGCTCTGGGAAGAGGAGAGGAGCCAGGCAGTGAGGTCCTTCTGGGCTCAGAGGTCCAGGACCCCCGGGCAGACCTCGGGGCTCTTCACACAGACTTTTGTCACCATCTACAACTGCCCTCATTTGTGTTCCATTCATCAAATGCCGGCACGGTTGGGGGCCTCTCCCTCCCATGGGGCCCCCTTCCCAGCAGAGCTGACCACGGCTCTCCCCACCACGGGCCCTGGGCTGTGGGCTGGGCCGGGAGGAGTGGCCGTCCAGGTGAGGGGCCGCATTGTCCGCAGCACAGGCCATGCCATCTGGAGCACAGACTCCCCTCGCTGAGACTGGCCGCCCCCCACTCCCACCGAGAAGATCTTGCCTTATTTAAAATCCCACGGTACCTGATACAATGTCCACCGGGAGCAGCCGCTGAGAAATTGCAGGGATTCTCACACGGAGAGGCCGCGTCAAGTTCCCGCCCCCTCGGGTGCTGCTTGGCCTGCGAGGGGCTGACACGGTACACAGCTGTGGGCCCTGGGGCGGGACGGACACTGGGGCTCTGGGGCCTGGACGAGGCTACCTGGCGGGCCCAGACTCTGTCCCCTTTCACTGTCCACGTGATGTGGATGCGGAGCCTGAGGTAGGAGCAGCTTCTCCAGGTCACGAAGCCACGACTCAAGCTGGTGTGTGGCCACCAGCTCCTGGCTCCTTGCTCACAAGGCCGCCAAGGGTGGAGGCTCTCTCTCTGGTGACCCAGCTCCGCTGCTCATGGTCACAGGCCCTCTGGGAAGAGCCGACTTCTGTGGGACATAATGACAGGAGCTCTCGGTCTGCACGTCCCGGAGCAGAGGGTCCCCACAGGGTTGTAGGTGCCCAGAGGGACCCACCAAGGCTCGGTGCTTCGCAGGCCCATAGGTAGACCGCACGCACCTGTACGGTAGAGGGGAAAATGGAGGCTTGGGGACGGGCAGTGCACGGTGAAGGGCATGAGGTGGGCATGTGGGACCGGGGCTGAGGGGCCCACGCTGGGTGGGCTCAGCTCTCCAACTGACCTGGCCTCTCGAGAATGAGCATCCTTGGGAAAACCGGGAGGGTCCTTCCAGTCGTAGCTGGGCGGGTGCTGCGCGCTGGGGCAGGTGAATGGAACAGGTAAGAGGCCGAGATTGCTCGCAGATGCCCCGGGGCGCCTGCCGGTTTGTCCTCCGGTCCCCCACCCCTGAGGGGCAGAGGCCTCTCCTCCAGGGTCTCTAGGCACAGGTCCATGATGCATGGAGCCGGAGGCTTTCCTGAGCACCCACCCAGCCCCCAGGCCCCCATGGCCTGACTCCTCGCTCCTCCCTGGGCGTTGGGGAGCAAGCGCGACCTCAAGTAAAGCAGGAAGTGAAGACTGTAACGAGTTTGGGTGCAGCCTCTTCCCGTGCCGGCCACGGCCCTGGGCCCGTTTTCCTATTGTTCTGCAGAAGCTGCCCCCCCGGCCCGCAGGCGTGGGCCTTCCTTTCTGCACTAAGTCCCTGTGACCTCCTGCCCCCTCACCAGTCCCGGGTCCCACGTGGGTCTGGGGTCTTGGAGCACCTGCCCTGGCCTGGCCTCCCTGACCCCCTCTTGTGTTGTGGAGACCGAGGGCCCCCGTCCTCCAATGAGTGAACGCTCTCATTATTCCGCTCTTGCCAAGCGCTGGGCCCCGGGCGGGAGGAAGCGCCCAGCTGTGTCTCGCAAACGCGTCCGCCGGGAGACACCAGGCTGGAGGGCGCTGGGCGGGCAGCAGGGGCTGGGGGGTCTGGAGTCCCGTGTGGCTTTTCGATCTTAGTGGGCCTGCGTCCCGTCCGCTGCAGGGACCGGGAGCTGTGGACCTAATCAAGTATGCTGGAGCAGCATCGCAGGGCCAGAGAGCCTCACCTCAGGGGTGCTAGCGTGGAAAACGGCGCAACGTGGAATCTGACCGCCCGAGGTGGGGTTTGCGGGCAGACGGGGACACAGGCAGGACTGGGCAGCGGATGCCGGCCGGCGGCTCCCCACATGGACGGCCCCCTGACGTGGCGGCAGCAGCATGCTTGCTGGTGCTTCCAGGCCACGCTCTGGTGTGCGTGGATGCCCGGCCGTGGCCGTGGCGCCCTGGCCTCATGGGCGGCACAGAGAGACGTCTCTGCTCACAGAGGCTCCGAGCTCCCTGCAGCGCTCCATGCAGGTGGGCAGAGGCCGTGGTCCACGGAGCCACACGTGGGGCGTGTTTGCCTTTCCCTGGGCGGCTCCTTGGCTGGGTGGACACAGCGCGGTCAGGTCCCCTCGTCCGTCCGCTCTGCAGGTGGGGTTCTGGGTCCTGGGCTCCAGTGCATAGGTGACACGTGGGGTCTGCTCACGGAGCTCGCTGGGGACACAGTGACAGAAAGGCAAGACCTGAGCCGCATGCACGTGGGAGATAGGCGGGACGGACGGGGGGCCGGCAGGAGGGGACAGGCTTTCCACGTGACCCGGGGCACCCACGCACCCACATGCACAAAACCTGAGAGCGTCACGGGAGAATGCTGGCCCCGCCAGGGGGAGGCATCCTGATAGTTGCTCTTGTTTTATTTCATAAAAACCAAAATAACACCAAACGCCCGCTGGGCCTAACCTGCTCAGTTCATTTCAGGACTGACGGGCAGGTGGCAGGCACTTGTTGAGAGCCTGGCCAGGAAGTCCTCTCTGAGGAGGGGCCGTAGATGCTGACGTCGGGGGAGCCCTGCCAGTCTGGGGCCGTGTGTACAAAGGGCCTGTGGTGAGAACAGCCCGGGTGTGTTCGAGGTACAGGTGGGGCCGAGGCAGACGAGGCAGAGTGGCTGGAGGACAGTGCTGGGAAGGGGGTCTGCGCTGAGTGCTCTGGAGGGACCTGGTCCGGGTGCAGTGTTCAGAGGCCACACTGACTGCCGCTCTCTTTTGAGCCTCCCTAGGGAGGGGATCATCTTCCCTTTACTCCTGGACGTGTTCCCGTGTGTCTTCTGCGTGGCCGGTGCAGCTCCAGGCCCGGGACTAGGGCAGTGGACAAATCTGATGGAGGTGCCCGTTCTGAGAAGCGTACATCCTCACGGAGGATAGAAACATTACAGAAACCACATGAGGAGGATGTCGGGCCCGGTGCATGGTGACAAGGACTGCAGGACAAAGAACGGAGCAGGATGGGATGGGCGTGCGTGCAGTGGGGGGCTTCCGCAGGGCCAGGAGGGGTTGGCAGAGGCCGCAGCACTGACAGCCTGCGCACGGTGACTCTCCCCATTGTGGGAAGTCAGGAAGGCAGGGCTCTGCTGCCCTCCTCTGTCACTCGCTCTCTGGGCTGACCAACTAGCTGGACCCTGGGGCCCCTGTCCTCTGGGCCCTTCCTGTGGGTACCAGGGGCTCCGCTGCCTGTGCTCTGCGAGCTCTTCAGGGCCGTCATGCTGCCCGGGCGGGTGCGGCTCTTGGCTCCGAGCTCCACGGCCGCGCATCCGGTGCGTGCCCCACATTCAGGGGGAAGGGCCCCAGCTCCCCTGCAGCATCCTGTCTGTGTCGTCACTAGGGATCCCCTCATCCGCACAAGTGCCCCTGCGGGTACCCCCTCCTGCTCCGCCGCTGGGGGACGACCTGGGAGGTCTGTGGGGGCTCTTCCCCTGGATGCCTGCTGCCTCGAAACACTCCCAATGAGAGCAGAAAGCAGGAGGGACTCGGGGGTCCTTGGCCGCAGCTGCCGTGAGCACGGGAGCCTGGATGCCCCACCGCACCAGGGTCTGCCCACCTGGCCGCCCCGGGAGAGGAGCTGCCAGGCACTTGGTAGGACTGCTGGCATTCATCTCCATCACTAGGGTCTCCCGCAGCAAGTGCGGGTGGAGCCTTGACGGGGAGGGAACCACGAGGGAGAACGAGACCATTCTGAGTTTTCAGCTCTCCCGTGCTTGCTATCCTCTGTGCGCTTGCTTCTCACACAACAGACTGGTGTGCTGGTCTCCTCCTGGTGTACCAGTGAAGGGGCCGAGATGGCCCGTCCCCGGCACCAGCACTCTCCTGAGCGGCGGCGGGATCACCTTTATGACGCACCTTCCAAGTAGTCACACTTGAACTTCACAGAGAGCTCTTGTGTAATTTCCCACAAATACGAATTCCTTTTGTCTTCCCATAACAGGGACACGCGCGGACATCTGCCAAGTGGCTTCTGAGACGCCAGCACGATCCCATTGCTACCGTGTCTTCCTACGGGAAAATACAGAGACAACTTATTTTTCAGTATCATTTCCATACTTGAGGTAATGATTCCAGATGGTTTATTTAATGCTCCCTTTGACGTAGCGTGGGGGGGCCCCCACTGTGTGAGCCCAGGTGCACACGCGCATGGGGCCACGGCACTGGGGCCAGGAGCTCGGTTTTGTTCTTTGATTTAGTCCCACAATGCTCTGAGGCCATCCCTGATTTACAAAGGGGAGCCCTCTGCCCAGGGGACCAGGTAGCTTGCCGGGTGTGGGTGTCTCCCGGGCCACTGTGACGGTCCAGGCTGGGGCTCACTCAGTGCAAGTCTATCCTCTCGAAGTTCCAAGGCCGGAGTCGGAGATCAGGGTGCGGGCAGGGCTGGCCCCTTCCGGAGCCCGGGGCCCCTCCTGCTTCTGGAAGTTCCTTGGCTGGTGGTCGGATGACTGCAGTGTTCACACGGCGTCCTCCATGTGTGCACGTCTGTGTCCAAATATCCCCTTTTGTAGGGACACCATCATATTGGATTAGGACCAGCTTGCTGCAGTGTGCCCTCATTGTAACCAAGGCTGCCCGCAAGACCCTCTTTCTAATAAGGCCACGCACTGACGTGCCGAGGGCGAGGACTCTACCGCTTGAATGTGGGGGGCACAGTCAACCCCCAAACTAGGCTACAGCGCTGGGGTGGCCGAGGCCCTGAACGTCTGCTCCAGATGCTGAGACAACCAGGCTGCACTGCACGAACTATGAAGTCCGCTGGGCTCACAGTGCTCCGCAGTGGGGTGCAGAAGCCTGGGCCGGGCCGGCTTGCCCTCACTCCCCCGGCTCTCCTCTCTGTGGGGTCCACGCACTGCTGTTTGCAGGTTGGCCCCTGTAACCCCGCTCACGGCAGCGTTCGGGGGGGCCGCCCGCAGGGAGGGAGGCAGCTCCATGGCAGTTTGCACAAGACACCCGGCTGGGGATGTCTTCTCCAGACCCATCACCTGATCTGTTTTTCCAAAAGAAAACAAAAAAAAGGAGAGAGAGAGAGTGTCAGGGCTGGGACCACAGAAGAAGCAGGAAGGAGGTGCCCTTGCCCGCCCATCTCCTGAAGGGCAATCACACCCGGAGAAGAAAGCCAGCGAGTCTGCGGATCACGGCGCGTGATGACAAGAAGCACCTGCTCACAGTGGGCACCGTGCCTCAGAGGAAGCAGGGGCTGGGACCGCGTGGAGGGGAAGGCGACCTGCAGCCTGAGGCCCACACAACGTGGCTTTCTCCGGAATGGCCTTGGCTCACAGACCAAGAGCCCCGGGAGGGCGCTCCAGGCGGGAAGTCTAGCTTCGCGTTGTTACTCTGCGAGAGATGAGCGCTCAGCTAGCGGGAGTCCTGAACAGTCCTGGGGAGTGTCCCGTTATAACCAGTGTCTAGAATGCGCCCCCCCCCCCCGGCCCTGTTGCACAGAACTCCGGAGCCCTGGGAGGGTCACTAAGTGTCCCAGAAACAGGTGTCAGAAAAGATTGGGAAATGTGTGCACTGCATGCCTCTCATGGACACTCAGAGCACTAAGAAATGAAACTGGGAGAAGGAAGTTGCTGGAGGTCCCCGTACTTTGCTTGCTGGTGATCTACCTGGTTTGGTCCAGAAGTTACTCGACTGCTCTTACCATGGAATCATGCTGCCCTCCACGTCTCTCAAAGGGTAGTCACAAACATCCTGTGTACCTGTTTAGGGCCTTCTACTCTAGGGCACGTGGGCTTTCCTGCTCCTTAAAATGAGAGCTAGCTATATAATTTTTAACACGCTTTTTGATTTGAAAGTAAAACTTAAATAATTCAATATACATTTTTGACATAGAATTGGCATGTAAGGTTATATTAGTTTCAGGTGTGCAACATAATTTAATTTACATTTTAAATTTAAAATTCTAATTAAATTTAAAATTAGTTTAAAACTGGGACACTTGGGTGGCTCAGTCGGTTAAGCGTCCGACTCTTGATCTCAGCTCAGGTCATGATCTCAGGGTCATGGGATCAAGCCCCGTGTGGGGCTCCTTGGTCAGCACAGAGTCTGCTTAGGAGTCTCTCTCTCCCTCGCCCTCTGCCCCTCCCCCTGCTCACATGTGCATGCTCTCTCTCTCTCTCTAGCTCTGAAATAAACGAATA